GTGTGGGTTTTCTCCACATGCTCCAGTCCAAACACATACTGGGAGTTTAATTGGCTTTTGGGGAAATTGGTCCTGGTGTGAGTGTGTGTCTGTATCTGTCTGCCCTGTGATGTACTAGTGTTCCTTTCCAGGTTCATCCTGCCTCATTGCGTGCCTGTTGCTTGCTAGGAAAGTCTCCAGCCTCTTGGTGACCCAGTATTATACTGCAGAAAGCAGTTAGAAAGTGGGTGGGTGGAATTAGTGGTCCCCATCAAAAATCACACTACTGTACATTGTCATATATGTGGCGCAAAAATTTATTTCTAGTAAATGGCAATTACAGGATCCTTAAATGATAGGGACATTGAAATTAACATCAACCAAAACCATGTTTTATCATTTTAATAAAAAGTGATGAAAAATAATAAATATTTGCTTTTAGTTTGTGTGGTTACAACTATTGAAATTCATTGCAGTGCCTTCATGCAATTTTCCTTATTCAACTGATGGGAGTCCTTCTCAGCAAGTGAAATCTCTTACACCTTTTTGCAGCGTGATACTAATTGTTATGAGGAAAACACTTGATCCAGATCTTTGCAGAGCTTTGCACACTTAATTGTAATCAATAGGAGTAAATGAATGAAGTGCATGGTGGCCAGGAGGGCTGCAGCAATTACTATTTATCTGAGGGCCATCTGTTGGGAATTGGATAATTTGTTAAAATAATAATTTATGGAATTGTGCATGCATCTGCCTTTATGGGGCTTCTCTTTTCTTAGAGTTAAAATAATTAAAAGAAACATTCAGCTTGTGTGTGGATACCCACAACTGTCCACTGTTTCAGTTCTTCAGCTAAAGTACGAGTAGATTGAATTGTTCTCATAAACAGCTTTCAGAAAAAAAAATGAGTATGTTAATTCAACCTTTGGGAATAAAATGCAGAGTTAAACTTGCTGCATAAACAAAAGAAGAATATACCATGTGCAATGACATGATAGCAAAAAATAATGATGTCATCCCGATTGCAATGAAAGAAATACAAGGAAGGCTTAAGATTTATTTATGATAGTCCAAAATGGTATGAAAACTTTTTATTAATAAAATATTGTTTGTATGAATCAGTTTAATGACCAATAACGGATGCTTATACTGCTTAGTAAATACAGTATAAAGATATCTGGGGAAAATTCAATACCATAATTTTTTACAAGTATAAATGTCTTTTCCCTACTAATGACATTTCAATTAATCAAAAGATTAATCTTTCCCTCTAAGAAAAAAAATAGATTTTTTCCTAAAAATATTTCATTTAGAATTTTATTTAAAGGGCATTAAAAAATGTGTATATCACAACTAGATGGTTTTCAAAGTTTTTTTTTATTATTCCCATATAGTTTATTGACAATTTCACTTTAGAATAAGCATTTTAAATATAGCAATACACATTAGGAGCAGTAGAACTATTTTTTCCTTATTTACTCATTATTTTTTGCATGTTCAAAAGAAAATATCAACCTTTCAAAATTGAGCAATTCAGTCAATTATTACTGTATATATCACTTTAATGCATTTCGTTAGAGATAAAACACTAAAATGTAACCCCTGAGTTTGAAACATTCTATTACAGTGGTCTTGTGCAAAGACAAATAACTACATAGGAATTAATCTATGATTCAGCGCCAATACTGACATTTAACTAGAGCCAAGGCCATTTATCAGCTGATAATGCCTACTGTGAAGGGTATTAATGCTAGAATAAACTGATTTTTCTTTGTAACTAATTTTTTTCTGGGAAATACGTACAGATTTTTCCCTTTTTTCAGTGTGGAGCTTGAAACTAATAGTATAGAGCAGACAGTCAAATATTTATTGTTATGTATCCTTAAACCTTAAAAATCTAATAAACCTAATAGTCCAGCTCAGATGACATACTGTAAATATATTTGTAATATTGTGAGTGTTATAATTTCCAAACATGTAATTAAATAAATTATTTTGCATTTCCTGAAAATATTTGTTTTTGTTCTTTTTTTTTCTTAATATTCTATTTCTCCAGGACCATTTTTAGATTTTTGAGCTAACACACTGCCTTTTTGCTTACTGCTTCTGAAGGTCAAGAGACTTTTTGTTCTTAATAAAAACATGAACTAGTAGCAGTCCGAATATTGCCCTATGTGATGAAGTACTTTTTGCCTTCTGCCCATCTTGTAAGGTGTCACAATCCCAAAGGAAGACACACATGTACAAGTGTGAACCCTTTAATGAGGTTCCCAGAAGGCCATTCTTTCTGAAAAAAAAATTGAGACAGAGGATTTGACCCTGAATAAATTTATTTTTCAACATAATATTTAAGATTTAAAAAGCAACTAAGTTTAAAATAAATAAATAAATAAATAAATGTTAATGATGTCAATGATGTGTATGTCAGAAAACTTCCTGCATACAGTACACTGTTAAAATGCATTACAGTACATAGGAAATAGAGATACAGAACAATGTGATGCAGTACCTTCTTTGGTTTATGGGTTTGGGTGAAAACAATGTAAGAACCAGAGTATCTGCCTTTTGTGTTGCTGATTTGTACTGAGATCAGTCAGAGCTGGACTAAATCTTTGAATTTAGCCCTTAAGTGGAGAAAGACGAAATCTTTGAATTCAGTCAAAGTAGCATGAAAAATATGTCTGGGTTTGGTCTGTGTAATTTGAGATATTCTTATCCACAGAAAACATTTAACTATAAGACTCACTCAGGCAGAGGATAAAAGAAATGTACAGGTGCAATGTAGTCCCAGTTGAGAATCAACAGAATACTTACTGTATAGATATCAATAGTTATAACATCTTTTGCACTTAAAGTAATCAGATAATATTTTTAATTAATGAAAATTCATGCCTGTTTCATGTATCTTTTTATACATTGTAATACAATCATGAAGTATTTGAGTGTTTAAAAAATACAGACTTAATATACAGTATTAATTAATACTATAAGTATCTTACACATTCATTACACATCCTGTTAAAAGTAAGGTACTGATCAAGTATTTTAACAAGTTTGCACTTTACTGTGTTGATGACAAACCACCTTTTATTATTTGTATAACTATGGTATTCCATACCTAGTGATGAAAGGCTTAGTGATGAAAAAAGTGACTTATTTCTTTCTGCTTTCAATTTGGATATTTATTTTTTTTGTTATAATTTGATTTTTTTCCATTTCCTTCAGTTTGTGTTCTTGTTTCTTCGCTTTTCAGCTGATCCATGGCTTTATTTTTTTTTACTTACTATTTTGATCTTTCTTGAAATGTTCTGTATCGTCTTGGTAGAAACCAAAGATATCCTTCAGGTATTAACTGCTTGAATCCTGGCTGAAATCCAGGATATAGTTCCGTGTGCTGATGTCACACATTTGCTGTAATACTTTATACACGTGCACAACAACATCAACAAAATATTTCAAAATGTTCAAAATATTATCAATTATTGTTTGCAGTATTAATCTGTTTTTTTTTTTGGACTTATTGTTGAATGATTGCAAAATGATGAATTATATCAGAAGCATATTTGACATCTTGAATTTTCCAAATGTGTTTAGTGGCACCAATCTTCAGCCTTCATAGTGCTTTCTGGGGTTTTTTGTTGGGGATATGTGAGTGAAATTAATACATTAATTTAAATTAATAATACATAATAAGTGAAATGAAGATCTTTCATATCTCAATCAATTCAATTTGGTGTAGGTCTGAAATATGTTTCAAGGCTTTTTGGCTTCCACAGAATTATGACTTAATTATGACCTACAGTTTGTACTGTAACACTTACATACTGTATACTTTATTCAGCACAGCCATTAGAAAATAGAAATAATGATACATCATTTCCGCTTCTCCACCAAAATAAGAAAACAAGCACAGTGATAAGTCCAATTATATATTACAGTAAATCTCCTAAACTGCCAATTTTATTTTTGCAGAGTAGAATGAGAAGTAAAAGACCATTATCAAAAACATTATTGCAAAAAATATTTTAATACGTTTTACTTAAAATCTGTTCTCAAATAAATTAGATTGTATTACCTACAGTACATAATCTACAGTGTATACTGAATTTTTCATGTTGATAGGCATTTGAAAAAGTTTAATTTAAAAAAGCTCTCTAGGCAGTTACTGATGGAATAATTCCCACTGTGACAATCACATATTTATGCTTATACATCATTTATACACATTTATAGTTGTGTACTGTATAAAAATATGATTCAAGCATGTTAGACTCCAGTGCACTCAAAATCAAGTAATCACAAATTTTAAAATCTAAAATAAAAGATATGCATTACTCTATGAATACATTAAAAACAAAATCTATAAATCTGTGGTTTATTCTGGTAAATTAATTACCAAAGGCTATCAGGTGGTATTTATATTTTAACACCACAGGCACATTAAATTGTTTCCTTATATAATAATTGCTCTGATGTATACTTATTTCTCAAATGGAATCACATTGAAAGGCCTTTTTTTACTCCCTATTGTTTTCACACACCTTCACAAAGAAAGGTGACACCAAAAACATCAAATCGTGAAACACGAGTACCAACTCTAGCTTAAGCAAACCATACGAATACCAAAAACCTCCTTTGTTAAAAAAAGAAAGACAATAATGAATGAAGAGTCCAACATGCATGGTTACATAATTAGTTACTGGGCTAAAAGAATAACAAAAAGATAAGACTTTTCCCCATTTGTACATTAGGTGAGTAACGAACAAATAGTTACAGATGAATACAACTCTTCATTTTGTTTCTGGACACTTTAATCAACCTGCCTGCATGTTTGGATCAATCAATTTCAACAATTACTTCCATTCATCTTCGTCTTGCCATTCATTCTGTGGCAGCCAGGGGAGCACAAAGTAATTGAATTTAGCTGGAATCTAATACAAGGACAAATTGTGACATGTTGTGTATAATCAGTTTGCAAGTACTGCTCTGATATAGTTTTCTTTTTTTTACTTTTCCACCAGGAGAACGATGACGTTTCCCACAGTGGCAGCTCAGATGAAGGGATCGGGAGTGAAAGTGAGAGCATTCAGGACATTTCAGGTTAGTATATACTGAAGGTGAGAAGTATTGTACTCAAAAGAGCAGGCAATACAGAATTTTATTATAAACCTCAATAATTAATCAAGCTAATGAAATACCATTGTAGCCTCACTGAAAAAAAAACAAACATTTACAGTAGCACAAAACACCTTGGAAAAGCAAATGTCTAAACCTTAGGGAATAATGTCAAAACATTTATCACAATATTGTCACAGTTACAATGTATGTTTCACTCAGTGTTGCAGAAGTGTTTCAAAAGTCATCTTAAAATTTGCATTGAACACAACTTTATTTGAGACTATCCAAAAACATGTTAATCTCTTGTAAAACTAATTTGCAATGCAACATTCCTGAAACACTAAAAAGACCTGGATATGACAATTATGTTCTATTTTTTTCTGGGATGATGAGAGTCTGTTTTAAAAATAAGAAGTTAATCAATGCACATTTGTTTTTTTCTATTACATACGTAACATGATCTTCCCTTTCATGGTCCCTCAATGATTTTATTACAACGTGAAATAATGACGATATGTCTTATTAACAAACAAAAATGCAACAGATACTTGCTTTAACCTGAGTACTACCAATACTTGACATCTACATCATTTTTAAATATTTTATAATTCACAGTATGAAGATAATGATAATGATTTCTGCTGATGGGAAATTTGCTTTGCAGGCACATACAGCAAAAACATAACAGAACATATAGTATTTTGACAACACTATATACAGTTTTGATTCTCTTTCTGAATTTTTTTACGTATAACAAAGGCATCCAAATGCAAATGTACTGCCACCACTCTGTTCATAGCAAAATAATATTTGGTATGCAGATCTTATGGCTAATTTTTCGTTCTATTTCTTCAAATTAACCACTAAACTGTAAGTTTTTGTAAACAAAATGCTAAAAAGTTATAATTTATCTTTGAGGTAATTAGGCCTCAAAACATTTTAAACTCATTGCAATTATAAAGATTTGTTTTCTCAATTTTAAAATTGAATGCGTTAAAAACCAGGAAGCCTGACAAAATCCTACTAGACAGAAAAACAAACATTGGGACATATAATCCTGTAAATTTGTGACTGTTAATCCCTGCATCAACCAGGATCAACTGCTTTTTTTGTATACTTCTAAATCTTCTTATAAACTGCTTCACTGATTAAATTGAAATTTTGACTTGAAAGTTGACTCCAGTAACCACAGAAGGTTAGTAAATTTTCTGCCTCAGAGGTTTCTTAATTTTGATTTCTTAATTAAATTCTTAAAAATCTTCATTTTTATATGCTTGCAGCTGTTTCAAGAAATGTAGTTCATCATGCAAATTGCTCCTGCTCATAAACTGTTCAACTAATTAACTCCAAATTGAATAGTTGTAATTGTACCTATAGGTAGGATATGGTCACATACAGTATAAACTGTACTCTTTTAAAACATTGGGCCAAACAAAAAGCAAAATGAACAGTAGAGATATACAGTCAAATTCTATACAGTTAAATTCCATGCAGTCATGTATAACATTTATAGAGGTGTTAAGCTAATATCCTATAATGGAGTAGTAAGGCCTTATGTTTAATCTTTTGGTGGTTTTGTGAAAATGTACTATTCTGGTCACCACGTTACAGAAAAGACATTGCTGCTATGGAATCAGAGAAGAAGAACCAGAAAGATTCCTGTGCTCAAAGGACATATACACAAACTGACAAGCTGAAAAGAACTGAACCTTTTTAGTGCTGAAAAATGATTACTTTGATATAAGTATTCAAAAGCACTATCAAAGTCAGTCTAGTGGTAATTTCAGAATCTATACAAAGTGAAGGAAACCAGAGATTCTTTGTGGAAACAGGTGATAATTATAATAGAGAGAGATGTACAGTACATGCAGTATCTGGAACAAGCTACCTGTATTTTTTAAACCTACAACATTTACAAGAACACTACATTAGTGCTTTCTCCTTTAGGGTTTGCTTTTGTATGTAGATATACACCACCTTCAACTAAACAACCATGCAAAATGTTATGATTAAAGGTACTTCAAATAACTGTCTTGCATTATCACCTTATTGACAAATTGGGAAGGTATCAATACTCGTCATTTTTTACAGGCATAAAGAATCTGAATACTCTAATTAAGAAGCATGTGCCTGAAGCACGTTTTCTTGAGAGCATTGGCCAGGAGATAACCTACATTCTTCCATACACTGGGGCACAAAACGGCACCTTTGCTCAAGTTTTTAAAGAGCTGGAACTGGAAATGTCAGACCTGGGCATAAGCAGCTATGGAATTTCAGATACCACTCTTGAAGAGGTAACATAATGTACAGTACTACTACT